GGCAGCCTGCCCGGCGGGCTCGGGGCACTCGGCAAGAGCCAGAGAGCCAGAAACAGGACCTGGTTCTGCTGCTGCAGCACCGGCACATGTGTCAGGCTCCTCCTGGAGGCTGCTCCGACTGTCCTCCTCAGCGCTTGAGAAACCCTGCTTCAGGCTTTCCAAGCCTGTGGAATCGAGGCAGTCTGCACGCTCCAGAAAACAAAGAACACTCGCCTCCAAGGACGGCTGCTGGCCAAAGAGACGGGATATTCGGTGCGTGATGAGGTCCAGGCTGTCCATGTGCGTGCTGCAGGAGTGCAGCCCTTTCTCCACGTGCACGCACCACAGCAGCTCGCAGGAGAACCAGTTGGCTTGCAGGTAGTCATAGAGCTCCGGGCTGACCACACGCTTCACCAGCTGGGAGAGGGCATCCAGGCTTGCAGCCGAAGGGGAAAACACGGCCTTCTGCAAGGCCAGCGTCAAGTTCTGCCTGAAGGAAGAGGAGATTTCTGCTTCCCTCACATTCTTCTCAAGGAGTCGGACAGTGTGATAGACAGAAAGGAGCACCTGGGCAGAGCTCGTGGCGGATGGATTTGTGAAAGAAGGACACGTCCACGAAAACAGCCTGGACCTTTTGCCACTCGGGGTTGAACTCCTTGAAGACGGTCAGCATTTTCCTGACGCTGTGTCCTGCCTCGTACTTCAGCAGTGACAAGTGTACCACTTTCCCCACTCGCTCCTTACTCTCTACAAGGAAAGCGTAGAGGACGTGTCTCCCCTCGCTCGGCACCCTGTGCAGCAGGAGGCTCTCGGGGAACTGCATAAACGAGCTCTTCATCTTGCTGGTCTGGAAGCTGAGTCTGTCCAGGCCGTGGTCGCTGTCTGCGCTAATTGAGGCCAGCGAGCCCCTGTCTGCCCTCAGGAAGGTTTTCATGACCTCAGCAACCCTGACGAGCGCTGAGGCCGAGGCATTTTCCTTCGCTGCCTCAGGGAGCGTGGGAGCCCTGTACCGAGCAGGCGCCCCGTCCGCCGGTTGTCCCGCAACCACGTGCAAGTCCTCATCCGCCGCAGCACCGCAAAAAAAAACTGCTGCTGCTTACGCAGTTTTGTAGCAGGGCCCTCGCGTGCCGCGGCGCTTGCCGTCACAGCGGTGGCTCTGGTCAGGGAAAACACCGGGTCCGCATGGACGTGGTTGCTGTTCAGTTCGCTGATCACGAGCCGGTCTATGTCCTCCTTATATTGCAACACAAAATAAGCCGGACACAAGCTGGGCTGCTGCTTTCTCTTCTTGCTGTATTTTTGGGTCCGGGCACAACCAAACTTCACCCGCATGAACCTGCAAGCGTTGAGAAAGCGTTAATGGGGGCAGCAATGGTGGTGTAGGCTGCCAGCATTTAGTTCTGACTTCTCTTGCATGCCAACTCTATACTCAATTAGTGAGCACAACCCCCCCCCCATGTGCCAGTCAGACATGTGGGCTGGCTTCCTGCTCAGCAAAGCCTGGGGTAAGAACGCTCAAACGCAGGAGAAACAGAGGAACTGAGAGTTACAACAGCCACGACCAGACACTACAAAGCAGCCCCAGCTCTGGTTCCCAGCAGCGCCTCTATTCCTGCTCTCCAGAAACAGCAAAGCCGTCAGTGAAAACTTGATACCTGCGTGTTTGTGCCTTGCTGTCTTACAGCACATATCATTTCTGCAGCTCCTCTGCCTCTGGAGGAGCAGGCTAGAACATAGCAAGAAAGGCTTCAAGGCATGAGATTAAATTATATTTTAAGAAGGCCAGGGGAGCGGTTGTGTAACTGGAGAACGACCGTGCAAGCCTTTGCACACACAAGCAGATCCACCGACTGGGACGGAAACGAGGCAGTGTCACGGCATCACCAGACCCGTTCAGATGAGCAAAGGCTGTGGAACAGAGCACTGCGAGAGGGAAACCTGACAACGCCTGTCCGTTGCAGTGCGGTGAAGGCAGCTAGGGAACGCCAGCAGACACCAACGTTTAGCGTCCTGCTACCTGAGCAGAAAAAGGCAGGAGCTACAGTTTGTCAGCAGTTTCAAAGATCGAAGCCACAGGTTTTGCTACAAGAGGCAAAGAGAATTGTCGAGCCGGAAGGCAGCGTGAAACAGAGCTAAGCAGCAGACCCGGGACGGCGGGGCGCCAGCCGGGGAACGAGGGGGGCAGCGAGGGGGGAGGCAGGAGCGGGCGCAAGAACGGCCGAGACCACAAAAACGGCAAGCGCGTGACGTAAGCAAGGGCGGGCCCGCCCCGCTGCCGGGGTCCCCCCTCCCGCAGCCACGAAGGGCCTGGTCCCGTCAGCCGGGCGCGGGCGGGAGCTT